TTCACGTCGAGCTCACCCCCCAATTGCCGATTATGATATAAAGAAATAGGCCAGGCCAGACCCCTTGCAGAATATATACAAACATATATTACTTATACAGTATAGTATGAGATAAACAGAGAGGCCAGGCCCCCTCCCGGGGCGTCCTCCACCTCGGCGACACTTGGATTACGCTCCCGTTACCGCGCTTCCCGGCCTCCCGGGCCCCCACAGCGCCCAGAGAAGGCCGAAGACGACCCCCAGAAACCTCAGAATGTAAAACAACTGCCCAAATCGCTACCGAGCAACCCAGGTTGGCTTTCGGGCGGCTCGCCAGGCTCCCCGGAGGTTTCCAAGAGACCTCAAGAGAGCTCCGAGAGGCCTCCCCAGAGCGCCTGGATAATATAAAATCGTTAATGCTCATTGTTTCTTTCAGGGTTTCTGGCCTTCTCATCATTTCATGCTTCCAACGCTCCAAAACGGCCGAAGAGGCCGCCAAAACCGCCCCAAGACCGCCCAAGAGGCTCCCAAGACGGCTCCAAAACGGGCCAAGAAGGCCCAAGACTGCCGAAGAGGCGCCCAGGACAGTTCCAGACCACCCAACCCCAGACCAGGCCCAAGATGAGCCCAAGAGCGGGAGCAGGAGGCCTCCAGAGACCTGCGAGAGGACTTCGGGACCCCCCAGAGGTCTCCAATGCACCCCAGACCCCTGAGAGGCCCCCCCAAAAACCCCGACGAGGCCCCCAAAACAGCTCAAGAGAGTTTCGAGAGCCGTCCCGAGAGAGCCCGAGAAGGGTAACATCACTGATTTCCGTTTGTTTTTAGTCGACGTTTTTCGCCTTCTCACGTTTTCCCGCTTCCAGCGCTCCAACACGGAGGGACCTGAAAAATAATGGGAATTCAAGAGATCCCTTTTGTTTTCAAGTTCAAAAGATACGCCCCCCCCAGGTTCCCACACCTTCCTGGGACATCTGCGGAACGCTCCGGGTACCACGCTTCCCAGCCTCTTAGGGAACCCCCAAAACGCCCAAAGACAGCCCAAGACGACCCCAAGAAGCCCCCAAAGCGTAAAACAATTGCCCAAGACGTTCCCAAGCAACCCAAGATAGCTTTCGGACGGCTCTCCAGGTTCCCAGGACACCTCCAAGAGACCTCAAGAGAGCTCCGAGAGGCCTCCCCAGAGCGCCTGGATAATCTAAAATCGTTCATGCTCATTGTTTCTTTCAGGGTTTCTGGCCTTCTCACCATTTCATGCTTCCAACGCTCCAACACGGCCGAAGAGGCCGCCAAGACCGCCCCAAGACCGCCCAAGAGGCTCCCAAGACGGCTCCAAAACGGACCAAGAGGGCCCCAGGACAGCTCCAGACCACCCCAGAACAGGCCCAAGATGAGCCCAAGAGCGGGAGCAGGAGGCCTCCAGAGACCTCCGAGAGGACTTCGGGACCCCCCAGAGGTCTCCAATGCACCCCATACCCCTGAGAGGCCCCCCAAAAAGCCCCGGCAAGGCCCCCCCAAAAGCCCAAGAGAGCTTCGAGAGCCGTCCCGAGAGAGCCCGAGAAGGGTCACATCGTTGTTTCCCGCATGTTTTTTTGAGTTTTTTTCGCCTTCTCATGTTTTCCCGCGTCCAGCGCTCAAAGACCGAGGATCTGTAAATTACCCTGGCGACGTACCCAACCCCTGCGCAAAAGCGGGGCGCAAATAGTTTAGGATACTTTATAAGGGGGCGATGACGGAGCGAGGGTTACATATGTCTGCAGACGGAATTCGGGAGACTCGCAGGACACTGGCTACAGGAAAAGGGCTTGATAAAGCTGATGATTTACAATTCCTGAGCACTCCTAGCCACTTCGAAAACGGGGATCACAGCAGGCCTCGAAAGTGGCGACAGGTTCACAGATCGCAGCCCCGCAGGGACGGCGAGGTCTCATTTGAATCTGCCCGTGGCCCTCACTGTGCTGGGCCCCCCAGCAGGCCTCGAAAATGGCGGCAGTTTCGCAGATCGCAGCCCCCCAGGGATGGCGAGGTCTAATTTGAATCCGCGCGTGGCCCTCACTGTGCTGGGCCCCCCAGCAGGCCTCGAAAGTGGCGACAGTTTCACAGATCGCAGCCCCCCAGGGAGGGCGAGGTCTAATTTGGATCTGCCGCGATTACCCTCCATGCTGGACCCCCCAGCAGGCCTCGAAAGTGGCGGCAGTTTCACAGATCGCAGCCCCCCCCCCCAGGGATGGCGAGGTCTAATTTGAATCTGCCGCGATTACCCTCTACGCTGAGCCCCCCAGCAGGCCTCGAAAGTGGCGACAGTTTCACAGATCGCAGCCCCCCAGGAATGGCGAGGTCTAATTTGGATCTGCCGCGATTACCCTCTATGCTGGACCCCCCAGCAGGCCTCGAAACTGGCGACAGTTTCACAGCCCCCCGCAGGCAAGACAGAAAGAGGCAGGAAAGAGGCGGGAGGCGGGAGGAGGAAGGACGCGACCACACTGCTCTATTCAAAACGAATACCCAACCAAGGAGGGTTGGGAAAAAGAAGGAATTCCAGAGATCATTTTTTCTCCAAGTTCAACAAAAAAACCCTCCCGGGGATGAACTCTCTGACGCTGCCTTGGCACTCTCTTGGATCGTCTTCGTGTCCTCCTGTCCACCCTTGCACAAGAGACCACAATTGAGGCCCCTTCAGCTTCCAGAGTAGAACCCAGGAAGCCTTTAAGGGCCCCAAATCGTTGAATACCTAACCCGAATTAATGATTTCTGCGTTTCCGCAGTTCCCCTTCTATACGACCCCGAGGCTTGCGCAGGGCCTCCCAAAGTGCCCCTGCATGAAAGAAACGACAAACATGATATTCCACAAGTAAGCCCATCAAACCCAGCTAGAATTTGAGCGCGCACGAATCGCGCGCGATGGTTCTTACATATATATATATATATATATATATGTAGAAACCTCCAGCGGGCTTCACCGTCAGATGTCACAGCGAGAACAGCAAGATATTCGGCAGCAAATGCCACATAACCCACAAACACGCGCTACGGCGAAGTTCCGACGGAGGTTTACCGGCCTTGTTGCTCGTAGTCGACTGGAGCCCGTCTGACCTTGGACTTGCACTGCGGGGAGTGTCTGTGGCAGGAGGGGTCGTCGCAGAGCTAGGCGCGATGACTGCTGCACTTGCCGCTCATTGGCGCCCAGTGCTCGAGGGAAAGGCCATTGCTCGCAACCTGGCGGAACGCTAAGGCGATATCCACATTTTGAAAGCCACCCGCCCTCCATCTGTGCAGCTCCTGCAAGCTTGTAAAGCGAATGTGCGCGGCTCTACGGCGAAACCGCATTTTGAAAAAAACACCGCCGTCCATCCCAGAAACAGTTGCAAGTTTTTGAGACGAATGTGCGCGGCGCTATGGCGAGAACCACATTTTGAAAGCGACCCGCTCTCCATCCGTAAAGCTGTTGCATACTTTTACGCCGAATGCGCGGGGCCTTTGTGTAAACGGCCCGCCCACCATACGTGCAGTGTTGGCCAATTTTTGCGACGAATGTGCGGGGCGATAAGGGCGATATCTTCATTTTGAAAACCGCCCGCCCTCCAATTGTGAAGCTCTTGCAAACTTTTGCGACGATTGTGCACGGCGCTAAGGCGATATCCAGATTTCGAAGACCACCCGCCCTCCATCAGTGAAGGCGGCTGCCACATTTTGGGAATCATCCGCCACCCATCCGTGAAGCTCTTGTAAACCTTTGAGACCAATGTCCGCGGCGCTAGGGCGAGAATCACACTTGGAAAAGGAGACAACCCTTCAGCCGTGAAGATCTAGCAGGCTTAAAGACGGATGCGCGAAAATAGCCGCTCAACATCCGTGAATACTTTGTAAGCTTTTGGGACCAATGTGCGCGGCGCTGCAGCGGTAGCCACATTTTGAGAACGACCCGCCCTTCAGTCGTGAAGCTCGTCCGCACTTCTGGACAAATTGCGCGCTGCGCTAAGACCAGATCCACCTTTTGAAAACGGCCATCCATCCATACGTGAATCCTTGGCAAATCGTCAAGACGAGTGTGCGCGGCGCTTGGGCGAGAGCCGCATTTTGAAAGCCACCCGCCTTCCATCCGTGAAGCAGTTGCAATTTTCACTCTTCAGGACCATCAGCGGTGAATAAGTCTCAAGCGAAACGCCCGGCCCGCCCTACCTACCGACACGTCTCGGGGTGCCACAGGGAGGAGCTACATATTCTCCAATCAGAGCTTGCCTCTGTAGGGGTCCTAGCGGATTCATATGGTTAGGTTAGGTTTGTCGCCGATTTTCGCTGCACGCCCGGGTGCGCGGGTGCCCGGGGGTGCCCGGGGCCCGGGTGCCCCGGGGGTGTCCAGGGGTGCCCGGGTGCCCGGGTGCCTGGGTGCCCGGGTGCTTGGGTGTGCCCAGGGGTGCCCGGGGGTGCCTGGGGGTGCCCTATAGCCCTAGAGCCCTAAGCCCTGTAGCCCACTAGCCCTATAGCCCAATAGCCCAATAGCCCTATAGCCCTACATCTCTATAGCCCTATAGCTCTATAGCCCTATAGCTCAATAGCCCTATAGCCCTATAGCCCCCTAGCGCTATAGCCCTGATTGGGTTTTTCTCCAGTATCATACATTTATATAAACCAGGAGAGGGATGGAGGAGGAGGAGGAGGAGGAGGAAGAGGAGGAGGAGGAGGACGAGGAGGAGGAGGAGGAAGATGAGGAGGAGGAGGAGGAGGAGGAGGAGGAGGAGGAGGAGGAGGAGGAGGAGGAGGAGAGAGGAGGAGAGGAGGAGGAGGAGGAGAGGAGGAGGAGGAGGAGGAGGAGGAAGGAGGAGGAGGAGGAGGAGGAGGAGGGAGGAGGAGGAGGGAGGAGGAGGAGGAGGAGGGAGGAGGAGGAGGAGGAGGAGGAGGAGGAGGAGGAGGAGGAGGAGGAGGAGGAGGAGGGAGGAGGAGGAGGGAGGGAGGAGGAGGAGGAGGAGGAGGAGGAGGAGGCGGAGGCGCCGCGCCGCGCCGCGCCGCGCCGCGCGCGGGTCGAGGACCGCTCGGTCAACGAGTTCCTGCTGTTTCACGGGAGCCTCCGGCCCACGCGTGCTGCGAGCGGGCGGGCGGTCCTTCGCGGCTGCAGACGCCCGTCGTCGTGGAGGCCGTCATCCGACCAGGATCGGCCCAGAGTAGGTCCCTGGTCCCCAAGGGCCCAACGGTTCTTCTCAAATTGACTTGCGAGGGTAGAGCTAGGTAAAGCGAGGTAGGCCGACGCAGGTCTCCAGAGAAATCCGGAGAAATCGTGGAAACTCCAGAGAGTCGAGGAGCCATACAAGTCGTCAAGCCCTTGGCGACCTGGACCCTTCCTTGGGTCCACCCTGGCTAGCTTTTGAAGCTGCGTCCAGGAGCTGTCGCCGGAGCCCCCAGAAATGCCCCAAACATGTGGATCGACGACGTGTTCGATCTTGAACCAGCGACAGCCTTCGCGACGACGACGACGACGACGGCGGCGGCGGCGGCGGTGCACGAAGACCCGAGGCGGGAGAGCACCCGCATCCGGGCGTGCATTGGCTCGCGGCCAGCCCTGGAGGCCGCACCCACCGCGGCCCACCGGGATGCTGCAGCCTGGTACCGCTGCGGGCTGCGGGATGGGTTGATCGGCTCTTCCTTAGGGCAGTCACGACCGGCGAACACAGCCGTAATTATCTACGCCCTTGCGGTCTGGGTTCTGTGGCGCGATCCCGTGGATACGCGGTCGCATGGATACGTTTCGCGTGGGGCCTTCGCGAAAAAAACGCCCTGTATCCATGGGGTCGCGGCCAGTGTGCCCAGCTTGCAAGGCCGTGGATGTGGATAGGTTTCCCGCCCATGGGAGAGGTGGAGGGGGAACCAGGCGGGGCTGAGGTAGACCAGCTGCGTGCAAGACGCAGCCCCTTTCTCTGACGAAGTTCGGCTGCACTCACACTCGGGAAGAGCCACAGGGCGATTTTGTCAAGTACAGAGTGCAGCATTGCGCAGTTGCTGTTTGGGCGCTATGGCTCCACACTGCAGCGTCCTCGCGGCGTTCCACGCAGGTCGCGGTCGCAGGCGCAGTCGCATCTGGAGGGGGCAGGGGAGGGGGAGAATTGGGGGAGCGGAGGGAGATCCTCGATCCTGGGGGCGATCCTCGATCATCCTCGATCCTCGATCCTCGGTCCTCGATCCTCGACCCTCGACCCTCACTTTCTGGCCGCTCCGGCGGCGAAGGACCAAGCCCAGCGCGTGCCAGTCCATCTGCGAGAGCGACTTCATGGTCAACCTCGCCGGCAGCAGCGCAGGCCAGCGGGCATCGGCCAGCGCGCCGCGCGGCCTGCGGCGGACGAGCCGCCCACCTCCCTGGCCTCCTCGCACGCGCCTCCAGGAGGAGTAGGAGGAGGAGGAGGAGGAGGAGGAGGAGGAGGAGGAGGAGGAGGAGGAGGAGGAGGAGGAGGAGGAGGAGAGAGGGCGAGCAGGAGGAGGAAGAGCAGAGGAGAGGAGATGAGGAGGAGGAGGAGGAGGAGGAGGAGGAGGAGGAGGAGGAGGAGGAGGAGGAAGATGTACTGATACCGCCGCTCGTCATCGGGAGCCCTCGTCGCCACAGCTGGATTCGCCTCGAAGTTCTGGTCAGGGCTCACTGCAGGAGATGTCCGGGGAGCAGCGGTATCGATAGCTCCTCCCTCCTCCCTGCTATCTTTTCGGTGTGAAGCAAATCACGACCGAGGCGTTTCCTCGTTTTCGGCCTCAGGGGCCTTTGCCAGCCCTCACGCCGTCAACCATCGATTCGGGATGAAAGACAGGCCCCGGGGATGAGGTCCAGATCTTTGGGGAGCCACGTTGCGACAAAAAAACATGGCGTCGGATGTCTGAGTACGAAGGGGAGGTGGAGTTGGAGGTGGAGGATGTGGGGCAGGAGGATGCGCAGAGGAGAGGAGGGAGGAGGGAGGAGGAGGAGAAGGAGGATCTTGCGGCGGAGGAGGAGGTGGAGGAGGAGGAGGATGATGATGATGAGGAGGAGGAGAAGGAGGAACAGGATGAGGAGGAGGAGGAGGAGGAGGAGGAGGATCAGGCTTTTGGTGGTGGAGGCCGCCGGGGGCTGCAGTCAAAGCGTGAGGAGGAGTAAGGTTTGGGCCGAGACTTACCGACCTCACCCGAAGTTGTAACATTTCGGTCGGAAATGCCCCTCGCCTCCTCCCTCTTCCTCCTCCTCCTCCTCCTCCTCCTCCTCCTCCTCCTCCCCTTCCTTCTCCAGGAGGCGCTGCCGGCGGCGAAGTGCAATTTCCGCAAACGCCTGCCGAGCCTCAAGAGGTGCAAGGTGGAGTCGGGGCCGGACGTGGACATGGACCAGACGACGGTCAAGACAGAGGATGAGGCTGTTGCGACCCCTGAGGTGGAGTCGCCGATCGGGAGGCGTGAGCCGCCTGTCCTCACGGAGGAGGAGCGCAAGGCCCGCAGTGAAATTTCGGAGAAGCTTAAGGAGGAGCACAGGAGACGGTACGGGTTGGCAAGGGGGTTGAGAGGGCTAAGAAGATGGGCAAATGCGGTGATCAGTCTGCTGGTGATGTTGATGCCACTGCCCCAAAGGCCATGCCCAAGCCGCGAGGGTGACAGGAGGATGTTCTTCTCCGAGGTAGAGAAGTGTGGGCCGCAAGTCCACGGGTACATCAACGAGGTGGCGGACAGGTGCCCAGAGGCCTCCATGATAACACTGTGCGATACGCGTGTGGCGAAGGATGAGGAGGATGCCAACGTCCGAAGCGACCTCGACAAGGACGGGTGGAAAGTAGCGATGACTTCGGCCGTGGGTTCGGGGAGATCGGAGGCGGGAGCGAGCGGGGGCGATATGGTGGCAGTGAATAGGTACCAGCAGGCCACCACGTTCGACGCCATGAGGCAGATGGCGTGCAAGCCCGGAGCCCAGGACCCATTCGAGGGCTTTGCTGCTATGGTGGTCCACACCAGGGCTCGTAATTGCATCTTGTTAGCGGTGTACATGGCGCGGACGTGGTATGGTGTCTCCCGGAACAAGGCGAAGTTGGCGGCCTCGGCGGGTGTCTTGGGCTCGGTGGAGGACCCGTGGATCATCGCGCCGGGCTGGAACCTTCCACCGGCAAGGCTGCAGGCGCTGGGCTTTCCCAACCGAGTTGGGGGCGGCATTGTGCTGCCGAAGAACATGCAGGTCACGTGCGCCATGGACGAGGGGTCGCTGACCGACGAAAAATTGGAGACGCATGCCTTCGTGCGGGTGGTGGAGTTCAAGAGTGCTGAGAGTACCGTGAAAGGTGCGCTGCGGCCTCGACATTCGAGTGAAAGGGCTTGTGCGAGGATTGATGGATGAGGACCTTGCGAAACCCCGAGCCATTATTGCGCAGGCTGAGGCCCAAGAAGGTGGCGGGCCCTGACTCCAAGACGTCGAGGAACCAGGGTCTCAGGCTGCGGCATCGGAGCCAGCAGCTGGAGGTAGGGCTCTGGGAGGCCTTCGAGGAGCTGCGCGAGGAGGAGGAGGACATGCACGAGGGGCCCAAGGTGGCCTTCGAGGTTTTGGAGGACGCGTGGATGGCGGGGGAGAACACGCCACTGTGCGAGTACACGCCGCAGATGCTGGGCCTGGCAGGCCACGTAGCCTACTCGGGCAATCAGACTTAGGAGCAGGAGATCTCGAGGAAGCGCGGGCGACGGGTCGCCTAGGTGGAGGGGGCGATTTTGGACGCCCATGGGATATCGGTGGATGCACCGCCGAATGGAGAAAAGGTGAAATTGACGCCTGGGGGGGTGCGCATTCGCAACCGAGCGGCAGAGAGCATGGCGTACATGGCGAGCATGCTGAGCAGATGCTGCGCTCTGGCGAGTGGCAAGACAGAGGATTGCCAGCGCGGCAGGCTGGCGCAGTAGATTAGATAGGACATGGAGTACCATGGCGCCCTCGCCTCCTCTGGCGAGAGCAAGAGGGGCGGCGGCATCCAGCGCGGGAAGCCCAACCAGGTTGGTCCCATCGCCATGGGGGGCTGCCGGCTTGGGGGCTTTGCCCCCCCTCACTGCAAGCGCGGCGCGCCGCCTTCCCTCCCGCCGCCTAGGGGGTTTCCGGCCGGTGGCAGCCGGGGCCCCCGCGCCAGAATTTCTAGCAGGGCGCTCGGTACACGGAGTCGTGGTAGCGGCAGAGATGGGCCAGTTTCGCCCCGTCTGCGTTGCGCGACCGCCCCCGCGCGTCGGAGCTGAGGGCGTCCTCAGTGAGGGGCGGGTTGGGCTCCTCCATGCGCTCGTCCTGGCAGGTTTCCTGGCGCCGCAGGCGACGGGGCCGACCTTGCGCATCCGCCCAGGCGACCGCCTTCGTCGTGCAGGTGGCCCAGTCCTCATGGGGTCGGGCCGGGGCCCCGGGGGCCCCGCTGGGCCCTTGGGCTTGCGTGGGCTCCGCTCGCGGCAGCAGCGGCCCCCATCGGCCCAGCCTTGCCTGGCGCCGGCGTTGGCGCCGCCCCCGCGCCCGGCTCCGCGCCTCAGTCGGGAAGGGCACCCCGTATCAGTTGGCGAGGATAGGACGTGCGCGCGTAGTGGGCGGGTCCGGGACCGCCGGCGCGGAGCGGGCGCATGCGGCGCGGAAGGGGCCTGTTGGAATGCGCTGCCAACGCGTTGCGGAACCGCGGCCTGTGTTACAGGAACTGCTTGAGGGTGATGTGTCGGTGGACCAGCCTGAGCGTATTATGGGCGGCCGCGCGCGCGAGCGGGGTGAGCTGTGGCAGGGGGGCGGCGTCGGCAGGGGGCGGCTCCGCGACCAGCTGCAGCGCTCGCGGAAGGTGGCGAGGGGGAGAACCAGATGCTCCTCGCGTTGGAGGAGCTCTGCCAGGCGGTATCCGCAGCGGGCATCGACGATGCCGAGGGGGTGGGCGATGCGATCGGCTTCCTGGGCGGGCGGGGGCTGCTGATGAAAGCGAGGCAGGAGATGGTGGACCTCGCCGGTGCTCGTGGGATGGGGGGGTGCCGGCCTGGGCGGCGCGTGGTGGTGCTGGCAGCGGCGGTGCCCGAGCCGGCAGGGGGCGACAGAGTGCAGGACTTGCTCTCGCTGCTGCCGAAGGCCTCGAGCGAAGCCAGAGGCGCGGGGGAGCTGGGGGCCTTTGCGGGGTGGGGCCATCAGGGGCTCTTCCCCGCTTCGAGCGGCGCTGTCGCGTGCGGTGCTGGACGAGATGGGGCGAGAGCTGGGTGTGACTTCGGCCGCGCTCGCGTGCGACCTGCAGACCTTCTTTGACGCCATCGGCTTGATGAAGCTGCTGGACCATGCGGTGCAGGTGCGGTGCCCAGCGACCGTGGTGGCGATGGAGGTCCAGCTCTGCCTGGCGCCCGGGCTGCTGCGGGACAAAATGAGTTCGGCATCGGCCAGGAGGTGTGGCCGACGAGATCGGCGTTGGCGGGGTCGGCGCGCGGTGTCAGCGTGGCCGAGGAGCGCGTCCGCTAGGTGCTGGCCAGGTTGCGTGGGGTGGCGCTGGCGGCGGGCCTCTGGGCGTTCGTGGGCGACGCGACAGCGGTGGTGGAGGGCTCCAAGAAGGCAGTCGCCAGGGGCGTGAACACGATAGAGGAAGTGTTCGTGGAGTTGCGCTGATGGGAGGGACCCGGTGATCTCCATCAAGACCGAGCTCTTCAGCTCAGGCTTGAACTTTGGGGGGGATTTGGCGGACTCCTCGAGGTCCGAGAAGCTGCCCATCCAGGTTGCGCAGGAGGCGGTGGGCCTGGGCGGCCACGCAACGAACGGCTGGCAGGAATGGCTGCGTCCGGACGCAGCGCTGGCGCCTCGGCATGGCCAAGAGACGCTCGGCCAGGATTGCGAAGATGAGGGGGATTGCGGCGCTGTCTCTCGAGGCCACGGCGCACTGGGACACGGGCGCCAACCCGCGCCGCGGGCGGCTTGCGGCCGCCGGCTGCAGGGCTTGGCGCCGAGCTGGATCAAGGAGATCCGCGGACAGGTTGGTGGTGCCTCTGGCGGAAAGGGTGGCGACAGGTGCCTCGCCGCGGCCTTGGCGGCGACGATGCAGGAGCGCCCAAGGGCGCAGCTGAGAGCCCAACTGTTCGCATTGTGGGGGACGGCGCACGAGCTGCGCGCCGGGATCAAGAGGGTCTGGGGATCCCTTGGGTCCGAGAGCCGCCGTGCTATGGGCGCTATGGGCGCGACCTGAGCGCCGAGGGCGGTGGGGGCGCCCGGCGATGATCGCAGAGGGCGGCCCCGCCACGGAGTGGCACCTTCTCATGGCGATGGACGATGCCTGCGGTTCGGTTCCTTCATCGACCACCAGGGGTTGCTGCGCGACGCGGAGGAGGACGTGGTGCACGCGCCGGGGAGAGCTGTGTCGGCGCGCGAGCATGGGGCAGATCTCGGAGCTGGCGCGGACGTCCGCCGCCTGCGAGGCGAACTGAGACGGGCGGTCAGAAGGCAGCGCTTGGCGGACTGGTCGCTGAGCATTTCAGAAGCGAGTGGAGGCAATCGGCTGAGGGCGCGCCGCAGGCGAGAGGGATGCCTGTTTAATGTGCTGTGGCGTCGCTGTCGCCAGGAGCCAGAACCGTAGTTGCACAGGTTGTGGATATGCAGCGAAAGCGAGTGCGGGGATCTTCCTGACTTCCGCCGCTCTGAGTCCCTGGTCCCGCAGGCCCTTGCTGGGCATGAAAGCCGACCCAGTCTTTGTCTCCGTGGGCTCCGTTCCTGGGATCTGACTTGCCCAGTTTCTGCGGACGATGAGCTTCGGGATGTGACCCTTCAGTTTGGAGAAGGGTGCCTGGGCGACTATTCAGAGGGAAGGGTGGTGGCGGTGTTCGGGGATGGGTCGGGGGGATGGTTCTCGGGCGACCTTGGGAGGTGCGGGGCAGCGGTCGCCACCCTGACGAGTGATCTTGGGGGCTGGCAGTTAGGCGCGACGGTAACTGCGCCGTTGGTTGATTTTTAACAGATCACCCCGAGGGCCGAAACTTTTGCGTTGGTGTTGGCCTTTTGGAAGGCACCGCTGGGCCCCTGCGTCATGTGACCGGCCATGAGGCGTTGGTGAAAACTAGGGCTGCGCATCGCGCTATGCGAAATAGAGGTATGAATGGGGACTTGCCGTGCCGTGTTTGGTTTGCTCTCCAGGCCCGTGGCCCTGGCCCAGTCACCCTTGAGTGGATGCCCTCGCATGCAGAGGAAAGCCTTGACAGGCTCCGCACCCCGCGGGATGTTTCCCTTGTTGCTGGCAGCACGATGGCATATGTGGATGCGGGTAGGGCGGCGGAATTGGCGTGAGAGGAGGCTTGCAGTCAGAGAGCTGGCCAGGCGGATGCTTGGGATGCGACGGCGGCCCTGGTGAGAGCCAGGGTTAGGATGACCTTGCAGTTGACGCTGGGGGCGGACAGCAGGAAAGCGGAGCAGGAGCAGAGAGGCAGGAGGATGCCTAGGTCTTACTTCTTGACTCTTGCCTCCTCCTCGACCCACTCCCTCCAGAAGAATGGGGGGACATGGCATTGCAGTGTTTGCTTGCAGATTGTGCGCCGCATGTTTTTGGAGCAGTTTTATGTGATGGAGTGCAGGGCCCCTGTCACCCCCCAGGTTCCCCCCCAGGCAGCTCGAGGCCTCATGTGACCTCCAGGGATGCCCAAGAGAGCCAAAGGGTGGAGGCCCACTGCCCGCGCGCACGGTGAATTTCTGGCCGACATGCCTGCTGCACTTATGTGCGTGCTGCGGCAGATTCGGTACAGCTGACTTCCGTCATTTGCTCGAACGTTGCCCTGGCAAGAGTCGGAAAAGGTCAAGAGAGAATTTCGCGAATGCGGAAGGTCTTTACCCGAGTAAGGAAGGGCCACGGATATCATTCGTGGCGGCACTCCACCAAGCAGAGACTGGTGAGATGGTCGCGAAACACCAGCCCAACCAGGAGAAGGGAAACCTGGGGGACAGTCTTTGGAGCCTGGGTCCTGGTCCGTCCGTTTGGCACTCGCTGAGTGCCGAGGCGTCTGAGGGAAATGGTCCCAGGCTGGGTGGGCAGAGTTTTACCCCCGAAGACGCGGCAAAAGTGTCCAGGGAGTGTACTGTTGTGCCGGCAGAGCTTCTTGAACCTGAAGAGGAGGCTGACGACTTTCTGGGCATTCGAGGCGGTCTGGAGCAATGTCTCGAGTGATGACAGAATCATGCGGCCGCGCCCCATGTTGCCCGTTGGCTTCGTGCTCTCGGCAGGGTGGTGTGTTGGTCGCGCCGCTTTGGCGGCCGCATTTCAAATCTTCCTTTCGAATCCTCCTCCTCCTCACTCCTTATCCTCCTCCTCCTCCGCCTCCTACTCCTCCCTCCTGCCGCACAGCCCCCAGGGCACATTTGCCCGCCTGCGCACGACAGCGCTGTTGATCTGCACAGCGGGCGGGGTCCACGCAGGCAGGAGAGCAGACACCAGCGAGCGCTCTCGAGCACGCGTCCGTGCTGCTGCTGCAGCATCGTGATCTGGCGAGACATGTCTTCTGTGAGTTCAGCTACCTTCACACTTGCTTCAGGGGCGGTCGTTGAGGTTTTTTGTGGACGGAGGGCAGGCCGATCAGCGAGGCAACTCAAGAGTTTTTGTCTCGGAGGGGGGGGGATCGGAAGGCAGCGGAAGAGCGGGGGAACAAGTGCAGTACCCGTGGCTCAGTTTTGGTTCTTTTTGGGACGCTCTCGCAGATCTGGAGGGCCTTGCTGTCGTTCGTCTCTCATTGTTTTGTCCCTGGCCGCAGCTTGGAGCAGCATGCACAGAACATGGCGATATGCAGTGCGACTACACGATTCAGATAATGATCCGTGGGGGGGGTCGCAGCGCCCCATTGGGAAGTGGACGATAAGATATTCTGGATTCGTCGTCGTCGTCGTCGTCACCATCGAGGCCGCCGGGCCGCCGCCAGCGATCCAGACGAGATACAAGTATTTGTTTTAATTGCCCCAGCCCGATTTGTTTTTGACCCGTTTTGTCGCATTACTTTTGAGTCGGGCCTGTCCCTCTGCAGAAGGAATATTCAAAAGTAGTCCGAGAATAGTCTGGGGATGTTTTTGGATTTTTTTTGTTTTGTGTGTGTGTGTGTGGCTATTTTTGAGTATTTTGAGACAAATTTTTTCCGCCCAAAATCCGCCTGTAGGGTTATGCCCGACCTAACACTACTTGGATGCTGGCAGCGGCATTGAACCGGCAATGGGAAGCCATGAGCCCCTGAACGGCCTGCACGCAGGCACGCTCTACGGCAAGGGTGTCTACTTCGGCGAGAACAGCAGCAAGAGTGGCGCGGCATAGACGTCGCTGCGGTCGGGCGCATGCGGTGTTGGGCGTCCAGGCAGGGCCGCCCACGATTGGATTCGATGCAGGTTGATTTGCCGTCTGGAACCGCGATTCCGATTCGATTCGATTCGATTCCGTTGGACTCGTCAGCATCGGCTGGGGCCAGCCAGAGCCGAGAGCGGCGATCTGATTTAGATTTTTGACGATTCGCTTGCGATCCGATTCGTTTCCGATCCGATTCGATTTCGCGATTCGATTCAGCTCAGGCTTGCCAGTTGGTTCAGTGGACTTGTCTCTGGCCCAGCCGTGGACAACGGCTGCTAGATTGCCACGTTGGGGCTCATTGAGTGATGAGTATCGCGACTCCGCGCGAGCTTGCCTGGTACACCGTGCGGGCGAGTGGCGCACGTTCAGCAGCAAAGCAAGTAACGTACCAGTCTGGTTTCGATGTCCGTTTGCAGCACGCATATTTTGTGGGTCTCTGATACTCCCAGGGCCCACCCCCGGGTTGTCCACCGTTCACGGGCACAGGGTGCATGATCGCAGCGCCTCACGGAGCAAAGGCCGCGTTACCATCCGTGGGCTTTGCGGATTGTGGGGCCTCATTCCAGCCCCGCAGTTTGCGCATGGAGTGCCAAGCTGCCGTGGACATCTTGGCTGGGGTCTTGACATCTCCCCTGGCCCCCCTCCGTCCGCGAACGTGCCTCGGGCCATGATGATGCGCTAGCCCCCCTCTTCCTCGCCCCCCTCTTCGGCGCACCTGGTCGATGGGAGCCACAGGGTTGATCGCTGCGGATGGAGCCCCCCCCATAGGAGGCTTTGGTTGGCTGAATTCTAACCTTCTATGGACGATTCCGTGCTAGCAGCGCTTGAGCTGACGATCGCTTGCAGGGATTCGGCGGACGGAACGAGCGGTCGATGGAGTTGTAGAGCCTCCCAGGGCGCTCGGCCGCACTGGAACTGAGGCGATGAGTACGCGTATCTCCGCCGGCCTTTGGGGAACCTCGTGATGGATGATGACATGCTTTGAGAGTCCACGGGGTGGGGTGACGCTGCAGCAGGTGGCGCGGGTGCACGCGGGTGCCTCCTCTCCTTCCTCGGCGCCTGCTCCGTGGGCAGCTCGGGTGGGATGGGTGGAGGGAGGCGGGAGGAGGACGGACCAGGGGAGAGTGGAGGGGGCGGGGGTGGATCTGGAGGATCGAAACGGGCACTCCGCATTTCATTCAGGAGGCTTGCGCGATTCCGCCGACGCCCAGACGGAGTGAGGAGCCCATGGACGCTGTTTGGGCGAGATATGGGCTGGAATATCGCACACGACATGGGTTTCAGCCGTGTTGGGCTGAGGTATGTTTTGGAGGGAAACAGCTAATCATCTGATGTGCCTTGGCACGTCCAGCAAGCAACAGTCGGCGGATTCAGACAACGCCCAGTTCTTGGCACCAAAATAGACGCGCGCCAGCGTTTCTTCAGCGCCCTCTGTTGCCACCACCGCTGCACTATGAAGTGGGCCTGTACTTGCCGGTAACAGTGATTCACGTAGGGCAGCCGATCCGAGATTTTGTGCTGCTGTTGTGTGCGTGTGTCATCAGGTCGTATCAACCTTTGGCCAATCAAGGGAACTTGTCTTCGTTGCTCTCGTGATGTGGGCGCCAAACGTGGGTGGGAGGGGATCGGTACATTGGTACTTTCGCCTCGCTCTTCCATGGAGAGTAGGGAGAGGACTGGGAAGGGAATGGCGTCATGATGGCGCGTGAGGAAGGGCGGGTGGAGGATCAGTCGACAGGAGTAGGGGGAGAAGGAAAGGAGGTGGAGATAAACGACCAAATCGACGATAATGTCCTCGTCGACGATCTGGACTAACTAGTCGGATCGACCAAAGTTCTACTGGGAAGGCCTGGCGGCCGGTGCCGCCGACCCTGACGACGACGACGACGACGGCGGCGTCGGCGGCGACACAACGCTGACGTGGGGCAGAGTCCTCAGGGATGCTCCGCTGGGCCTCATCGGAGCGCGCTCGTAGGTCTCTGGGGGGCAGTTTGGGGTCCTCTTGGGAGCATCTTTGGGGCCTCTGGAGAGCCGCTGGGGGATCTCTTCGGGCTTCCTGGGGGCCTCTTTGGGGCCTCTTGGCACCTCGTGAGGGCCTTTTGAGGGCCTCTCGGGGCCTCCTGAGAGCTTTTCGGGGCCGAGGGCTCGAAATGTTCGTGCGGGCTCCCGTGTGGGCACCCTCTTGGAGCCGTTTTGGGGGCCTGTGGGGCCGTCTGGGAGGCCTCCGTTCCGGGGCCGTCTTGGGAGCCTGCCGATTGTGGTGGTAGCTTTGGGCCGTCTTGGAGCATCGGAAAGCTGAGAAGGTGAGAGCGCCAGCATCTCCAAACGCCCAAAGAAAATCATGAACTTTTGTGTGTTGGTGCCCTCTTGGTGTGCTCTTGGACGCCTCTTCGAGTGCCTTGGCAGCCGCTTGGGTTGTGAGGAGGCCATCCCCAGCGTCTTGGAACGATCGTTCGGCGATTCGGGGCCCTCTTGGACCATCTTGGGAAATGCTTGGGCTGTCTTTTGGCCTTTTGGTCCCAGGACCCCCTGGGGGAGGATGGTATTCTGACCCAGAACCCCCCCCTCCACCTCCTGGACCCCCCTCCAGGCCCCCCCTGGGGGGAAGGGATCAAAGGGAAGGGGCTTCATTTGAGTCAACTACGACGTTGCTCAAGTTTGGTTTGGTGTCGCTTTGGCTGGCGCGCTTGAGGTTTCGGTTCGGTTTCGCTGTGGCTGTCGCGCTGGAGGGGGAGGACCCAGTGACTGCGACGACGACGACGGCGATGACGACAACGACGACAGCGTCACGCCGGAGGGTCAGCGGAGTTCAAAGTCGGATCGAAGACGCCTACGGCCAATCACCGCCGCTCGCCGCCCCCTGTCTTTTGAAAGCGCCTACGTGGCCGAACGTTGTGGCCAAAGCCTGGACAAGTTATCGAACTATTCTGTGTTCCCCGAGGCGTAGTGGAAACCCTTCGGGACACATTTTGGGAAGATGACGGAGAGCATCAGGAGGAAGAGGGAGAGGAGGAGGTGGAGGAGGAGGAGGAAGAGCAGGCGGAAGAGGATGAGGAGGAGGAGGAGGACGAGGACGAGGAGAAGAATAATACCTCTTGGGAGCCTCTTGGGGCACTCTTGGGGCCTCCTGGGAGCTTTCTGGGGGCCTCTCGGAGGCCTCTTGTGGCCTTGGGTCTCTGGGGGCCCTTGGGGGCTTCTTGTGGACCTCTTTGGCAGTCTTAGGGCATTCCTGGCCGGTCTGACGCCGTCGGAAGCTGTATTGGGAGCCTCTTTGGACCGCTTTGGTTTTTTTTTGGGGCGCTTCAGGGCCGTCTTGGAAGCCATCTTGGGCGTCTTGGATGCGTCTTGGGGTCCTCTTTGTGCCGTCGTGGGAGCCTCCTAGGCTGTCATGGGGCCATCTGGGATGGGAGGCCTCTGGGGCGCTTTTGGGGCGATATGGGGGGCCTCTTGGGCGGTCTTGGGCTGCCGGGAGGCAGAAAGCAAGCACATTCTCAAATCCATCAAAATTCTAAGGATCATCAATTATTCTAGTCTCTTCGTGCCTTCTTGGAGGACCTCTTGGAGGCCTCTTGGGCAGTCTTGGAGGCCCCTGGGAGGCTTCTTGAGCAGTCTTAGGCCATCTTGATGCCATCTTACGCCGTCTTGGGTGCTTCTTGGGCCGTCTTGGAGACATCTTGCGGCCATTTTGGGCTCTCTTGGGGCCATCTTGACCGCCTTGGAGGCCATCTTAGCAGCCTTGGAGGCACTCTTGAGCCATCATGGGTTTGCCTGGAGCGGGAACTCCTTTCCGCGCGCACGGCGCCATCGGCCGAGACCCCACTGGGAACTTTGGAGCAGGATCAGCCACTACCTGATGTCTGGCACGCTGTGCACTCCCGTGGCGAGCCACAGGGGTCGACGGACCAACTGGCCCGCCACCGTGCCTGGGTGGTAGGTCAGGTGCCTCCTGGATGCCTATGGAGATCGCGTAGGAGGCCTATCCGAAAGAGGCGGTTCTGGGGTGTATTGGGGGACTCTCGGGGGCTTCGTGGGGGCCTGTCGGGGTCGATTTGAGCCTCTTGTCGGGCTTCTGAGGAGTATCTTGGGGGCCTACTGGCGGTCTCATGGGTCATTCTGGGGCGGATGGCTCGACATGTCTTTTCGCGTTTCCCCTCTGGGCTTTCTTGGGGCATTCTTGGGGCCGTGTTGGGCCGTATTGGGAGCCTTTCGGGTTGTCTTGGGGCTTTCTTTGGTTGTGTGGTGGCTCTCTTATGGGCTTCCTAGGCCGTCTTCGGGCGATCTTGGGGCGCGTATGAGCCGTCTTGGAGCGTCCGAAACTCGAAACGGCCAGAAAGCTAAAACCCTTTCAGTGCGAAGCTCATACATCTTTGCTAGTGGAGGCCTCTTGGGGCGCTCTTGGTCCGTCATGGGGGTGTCTGGAGCTGCTGGAGGGCATCCTGGGCGTCTCGGAGCGCTCTTGGGTTGTTCTCGAGCCCTTTTTGTCCCGTCGCCCCGCTCCCCCTTCCCAAGCACGATTTTGGACCCTGGGGGAGGGGGAGAGTTCGGTGGCAAATCATGGGGACCTCGTATGTCCTCTGAAATCCGTCTTTAGCGTCGATATGTGTGAGTCGACTGGAGAGCGCCGATTTAGCGTCGGATAGCGTCGATTTGCGTCGACTTAGCGTCGATTTAGCGTCAATCAGCATCGATTTAGCGTCGATCAGCGTCGATTCGCAAGGGCCAGCAATAGGGTGTGAGAGGCTCCCAAGAGTTGCCACCGAAGGAAAGGGGGAGGGGCTGCAGCCAACCCACCTTTTCACCCCCAGCGAGCGGGAGTCGGTTGATAACAAGGGGGGTCACCAGGGGGGTTCGCGGCTCGGTCGGTTCGGCTGTGTCGCAGTCGGCTGCGTTCGGTTCGGTCGGTCGGCAGTCGGCTGCGTCGCTGCGCTCTTTTAGGTTTTGCCTGTGGCCCTTCGAGTTGGATCGGTTCGGCTTCGCTGTCAGTTCTGTCGGTTTTCGGTCTTGCTGCCTTCGTGGACGGCCCTGGTCGCAAGCCCTGCGCCTGCAGACGAGCCATTTCACACCACCCCTAGTTTTAAGTCGGGCTTGTCCCTCTACATGGGAATATTCAAAACTAGTCAAACAATAGTCTGGGGACGATTTCCGATTATTCTTTTAAATACTTGTTGAATATTTTTTGGGGTACTTTTATGTTTCGTCCACCATCCGCCTGTAGGGGGACGTGCCCGACATAACTCTGGTTGGGAGACACCCTGGACCTCCTCGCCAGGCCCCACCCAGCCCTCCAGGACGGCTCAAATCAGACCACTGCTGACACTATTTCGGGCATGTCCCCCTACAGGCGGATATTGGAGGAAAAATCAAAAATAGTCAAACAATGCTAGAACGTAGTCAAAATGGTCAAACATTTTCCCCAGACTGTTTTTCCCTACCTAGGCTCTGCCTAGAAGGGTTCTTACCGTGTGTGCTTAAAAGGGCCGGGCAGTGTTGCCCGCCCCGGGCTGTTCCCCCAGGATCCGCCCCGCGGTTCCCCCAGTTACGTCCCCTTAGCTTAGCGTTGCTTATCTCATCTTAGCGTAGCTTATGCCATCTTAGCTTAGCTTAGCTTCATATTAGCTCAGATTTATCGTTGCTTAGCTTACCTTCATCGTAGCTTCGCTGAGCTTTAACATAGCAGGGCACAGCATAGCATAGCATAGCGTAGCATAGCACAGCGCAGCATAGCATATCATAGCATAGCCCAACATAGCATAGCATAGCGCAGCATCGCATAACACAGCATAGCATAGCATAGCGCAGCACAGCACATCACATCATAGCACAGCGCAGCATAGCCAAGCATAGCATAGCCTAGCCTAGCCTAGCATAGCATAGCGCAGCATATCATTTCATA